GCCGCTCTTGTGGCTTCCTGTTGCTTTCTCATCAGAAAGTCATTTTTTTGCAGGGAAGCAAAGAAATCGGCACTGGACATAAATTCTGTGCATGTGCAGTGGTGCAGAGTTCCCGCAGGAGTAAAACATCCAGAAAGCAAACCGAATATTAGGAATCATTAGGAAAGGGATAGATAATAAGACAGGAAATATTGTATTTCCTCTAGATCAGCAGTTCTCAAACTTTAGCAACCCAAGGACCCCCATTTTTATTTAAAATTTTTCGGGGACCCCCTGCCCTGCCCCTTCCTGGCCAATGGGAGCTGCGGAGCCAGCACTCAGGCAGGGGCCATGAGCGGAGCCTCACTGGCCGCCCAGGCACCTAGGACCACAGGGAGCTGGCAGTCGCTTCCGGGTGGAGGAGTTGAGGGAGGGGGAAGAGTTGGTCAGCGGGACCCGCGGACACCATGGAGATCCCTCGCAGACCCCCAGGGGTCCGCGGACTCCAGTTTGAGAAACGCTGCTCTAGATAAATCCATAGTACACCCCCATTGTGGTGGGGCAATTACCCCACACCCGGAGAGACTGGGCTGCGGCAGGCCTAGGCGCCTGCGTAGACGCACGGCCAATCAGGAGAGGGCTTACTGGGAGCCAATAAGAAGGCAGATTGGAGCCAGCCAATCAGGGCCCGGCTTATCCATATAAAAGGCTGCCCAGAGCAGGAGCAGTCAGTCTGTCCCAGGCCTTCAGAGGGGAAGGTCTGTCTCCAGAGCTGGGAGGCCAGCACCACGGACAGTGCAGTGCAGGCCAGCCTGAGAGAGTGGGAGAAGGCCCCACTCCATAGCCTGCTAGGCGGCAGGCCTGAGAGGAGGAGGCCTAGCGTAGCGAGGGGCTGTTGGGGAAGTGGTCCAGAGGGATAGTCAGAGGAGGAAAGAGAAGGAAGACTGGGAGACTGTCACCCGAGGGCCTCTGGACCGGGACTCAGAGTAGTGGGCGGGCCTGAGTTTCCCTCCCCCCCCTCCTTTTCCCCCCTTTGTTTGCTGTGCTACCCCACGCACAGCCACAGGCCGCAGGGAGCGGCCGGTCAGAACCACACCAGGTCCTGGACGGTGAGGATCGGACTTGAAGGTGTGGGGCTGTTGTTTACCACCCCTCTACCCCCCCGGAAGGGGGTGTGAAGAGTCAAAAGGGACACTGTCGGAGGACAGTGCTCCAGAAGAGGACTCCGTACGTTGAGGGTGACGCAAGTCCGCGCACCCAACGCAGGTGGAACGACAGGCGGGACGCCACCCGAAGAGGCGCCCTACTGGTTCGAGCCAATTCCCCAAGACGACCAGGAGGAGGTGCCACAGCGGTGATCTACTACCCTGTCACACCCATATTGAATAATGTGTGCAGATGTGGTGGCCCCATCTCAAAAAGGATATATTGGAATTGGAAAAGGTTCAGAAAAGGGCAACAAAAATGATGAGGGGTTGGAACGCCTTCCCTATGAGGAGAGATCAATAAGACTGGTACTTTTCAGCTTGGAAAAGAGACGACTAAGGGGGGATATGATCGAGGTCTATAAAATCATGACTGGTGTGGAGAAAGTGAATAAGGAAGTGTTATTTACTCCTCATGACACAGGAACCAGAGGTCACCAAATGAAACTAATAGGCAGCGGATTGAAAACAAACAAAAGGAAGTATTTCTTCACACACAGTCAACCTGTGGAACTCCTTGCCAGAGGATGTTGAGAAGGCCAAGACTGTAACAGGGTTCAAAAAAGAGCTAGATAAGTTCATGGAGGATAGGTCCATCAACAGCTATTAACCAGGATGGGCAGGGATGGTGTCCCTAGCCTCTGTTTGCCAGAAGCTGGGAATGGGCAACAGGATGGATCACTTGAAGATTACCTGTTCCGTTCATTTCCTCTGAACAGGGCCGGCTCTAGGCACCAGCAAAAGAGGACGTGCTTGGGGCGGCACAATACCAGGGGCTGTTGCGCTCTCGGAGCTTTTTTTTTTTTTTGCTCTTGGCGCTTGGGGTGGCAAAAAACCTAGAGCCAGCCCTGCCTCTGAAGCACCTTGCATTGGTCTCTGTTGGCAGACAGGATACTGGGCTAGATGGACCTTTGGTCTGACCCAGTCTGGCTGTTCTTATGATTATGGGTGGGTGTGGAAGGAGCTGGGGATGAGATGTTGGCGGGGGGGCTGCAGGGACCAGAGCAGGGGGTTTCAGCGGAGCTGGGGGTGGGAGGGTGGGGTGCCTGGGAGCAGGTAGACACTGGGGTGCACTGCCGGTTTGGAAATACTGGGGAGAATGGGAAATGGAAGGGCAGGCGCTGGGGAGCTGGTAATTGGGGGCAGTGTGGAATCTAGGAGAAAGGTGGGGGGGCTCTGGGGCAGTCGGGGGATACTGAGGGGATGGGGGTGGTAGGGGATCTAGGGAGAGGGTGATA